AAAAAAAAAAAAAAAAAAAAAAAAACGAAGAAGAAGAAAATGAGGGAATGATACAGACATTCTGTTTGATGTTCCAATAAAATACACGTGCTTATCATAATGCAGAAATTTCATCATATCTGTTTTAGGTGGTTGCGGTATCATGCTGAGACAATTTCCTAGAGAATCTTCATACGATCCAAAACCATTGTACGGTGGAATGTATTTCTCTATTTTCCCGCAGGTCTCACCGTTTTCCCGAGGTTTTTCCATCGGTGTAAAATCGTTCAAGCCGTATTTCTTCCTTTGACGAAGAAAAAAAAAAAAAAATAATAACGTAAAAAATAGTATCAATTGTACAAAAGTAGTAGGATGATTTAAAATAGGTATATAATTAAGAGAAAGAAAAGAATTACAAATAAGTATATAATAAGAATTACATTTTATTATATGTATAAGTATAATTGTATATTGTAATTGCAATACTATGTAATTATAATTGTTATCAATTGTTATCGTTAAATGTACTTGTAATATATAATTATATAGTGATAAGAATAACTATCATTAAAAGCTAATAATATTATTGCTATTAATCAGTTTATTAATAATTATTGTTATATTGAATTAATGATAATTATTATCGATTATATTTTAATATATAATATGTTATTATTTATTGTTATTAATTATTAATTTTATATCGTTACATTACTATTAACTTTTAATAACAATTATATATATATATATATTACAATATTATGTTATAATATTTAACGAATAATTACAATTATGATTACATTTTATAAAGCAAGAAAAAATGTACAAATGCAAATATTTCATTTTATCAAATTATTGCCAAAATGACATTCAATCAATCAAACATTTGTTAACTTAATGAAATAAACTAGTTTTAATATTTATTTATCACTATAGTATTACCAATATTTGATATTTAATGTGTACAAATTTTACTTGTAACATTTTACCTGTAATATTCCTTCGTGTAAGCATCCATATCCGTTATGACAATTATTCTGCCAAAAATATTTAATTGTGCACCAATATTAAGCTCGTTTTCTTTGTAATATTCCGTACGAAGTTTTCCAGTGTTCAATGGATCTATCGTGTAGTAACCGTAAGATGTGTCTTCTCCCAAAACGTTCAAAACAGTGAAAGGATTTCGTGCTCCAATTGGGTCGATTTCACTGAAAATCTACGAACAAAAGTAGATACATCAACACTAATTTCGTTGATCAAATAAATAGAGAAGCTGAAGGTGATTTTTGACACATGCGATTCATTTATAATATATATTTGTCAAGTAGACTACGTATATTATATTTATATTTATATTCACATTAAGTTTTATATCCAATTGCAAGATTTATATAAGTCAGTTTCATGTCACAATTTTATTTTCTCTAATTTTGCATCATGTTATGATTATTTGTTTTCGAATTTGTTACGCTGCAAAATTGTAGATGTTCGAAAAAGTGGTGCATTGAATATATAATTGTAATTAGAAAATACCTACTTATCAAGGGACTTGAAGACGAATATTCCTGTACTCTCAAAAATGTCAGAAATACATACATGTTAAAAAGCATCGAAAATATATATTACATGCTACATGTTAGAAATATTTGTATAAATGTGACTCTTTTTATAAGAGAAATGTGTCAGATCGTCACAACATCTATGAAATCCATACTTTTGGAACTTTCATACGTCGCAAGAACATCGAGCCAGAATCTCGTCCAGAATTCGGCGGCATGTTTTCTTTAATCTCCATTGTGCTGTCAGCCAGATAATAGTGAATTTCAAGATCATGCACGATACCGTAAAGATTGTCCGTGTCATCCCAGTAAGCGTAAAACCGTAGCACTTGTTTGTCATATTTCAAGAAATCGCCAAGTGTGTCGACTTTCTGCTTTGGTTTCTTTGGGAATGTTTCCTGTTCGAGTAATTGCAATATATAGAAATAATTAAGTGCCCACTGTTCAATCGAACTACCATTCTAAATTATTCACTCACTCTCTTATAAAGTTGCGAATGGGGATCTTTTGGTATTTCTATCGGATCTGGCACCGCGATTCCCATACGATTTAAAAACTGTCTTGTGAATTTGTCGCAGTCGACAATTTTATATACTCTGCCAAATATTTCCGGCTCTTTGCCGATATTTAAATCGATCATATCGTAATATCTATACCTCGCTGGATCAGGCATTGGAATTCTTTGACGTTTTAATAGGACACCTACACGTATTTCGTCGTTCAGCAATCAAATTTTAATGGAATGAAAAATTATAAAAAGTTATACATGTGATGTACGTATACATCTACTATTAATGCATGTATATTATTATGTGTACAATAGTACTAAAATCAATTGAAATTAAAAAGATTTTAAGTGTAAAACTTTTGTAATATTCTTCTATTTTCTAAAATCGATTTTCTTGAAAAAAAAAAAAAAAAAAAGAAAATACTTTTGTCAATCTGATTATAACAAAGTGAAGTAATTTTTGTTCTATGATATTAGTTCTATTCTATTATTTAAAATATCGGCAATTATATTAGAAAATTTAAATAGGCACATCTACTTCATCTATTGAGAATATATTAAAATAAAATCTAACGATAAATACAACAAAGGAATAATAAATAATATTTCTAAGGAAATATAATATTACAAAATACAATAATTAAAATAATAAAAGTGTAATTATATTAATAAGTGTAAGTAATTAAAATAAAGTAATTAATAAAATAAAAGTGTAATTAATTAAAATAATAAAAGTGTAATAATAAGTATTGAAGAAAACCACCGTTGAACCTTGCTCAAGACCACTATTGTCCACAGAGGGTTCAGAAATTTTCATTGTTCCATCCTCTAAGAAGAAGCTGATATTTACAACGCGTATTTGATAAGCTATTTTCCATCTTTCATGAACTGTTTCTTGGAAAAATGCTTTAAACATCAACCTCTAAAAAATACGTTCGATATGAGAAACATCATTATTAGAATCTTTCCTTTATATAAATTTATTTCCTATTTACTTTATTAATATAATTTATATATGAATTAATATAATTAATTAATTTAAATTAATATATGACATCATTTATATTATATTAATTATTAATACAATATATGATTTATATATTTTTGTATGTAATAATATATATAATATAATACAATTAATATATTTAACGTGTTATTCTGTTTTATTTAATTCTTAATGCCTGCATTAATTAGCAAGTGTATAATCATACTTGGCCATCATAGGCAATCCAAGGAGGTAGTTCTTGAACTTCTCCGCGAGGATAAATTGATGGATAACGAATAGGATCGCCTTCGTCATGCTTTTCTGATAAATAATAGACTCCATCATGAATTTTTGCAAAATTTTGATTCCTGGGAAAGTTCGTCCGACCAAGCTAAACAAGGTACGTATACATTAAACGCTTCCTATATCCCATTATAATCATATGTCTTCTATTTATTGCCAATCCAAGTATTAGCTCTTAGATATATGGGTTAATCAAGTGTAAAATGTCACAAAATTATGAAGAAAAAATGACTTACGTTTTTATCGAAAGTAAAGCCTGGTAAGCACGGAAGCATAGGATCACGCTGCATTTTATCACAACAAAAAATCGAATTAAATGCACTAAATATTATAATTAATACATTCGAATAATTAATAATAATAATAATAGTCACTTTACGACGAAACACTTTACGTACATATTTAATATTGATGTAAGAATACGAGTTATCACTATTTACTATTGTTGCGTTACCTTGGAGATACCTAAATTAATTTCATCAGGAGAAACAAAGAACCTCGTAGTAGTTGCAGCTTCAATGTATATATTTTATTATTATCAACAATTTGCAATATTATACTGGTAAAATTTTATCCCAGTACACGCAAAAAACATAAGTTTATATAATATGTAGCAATATACAATATAGCAAAAACTCTGGTATAAATATAACACGTATATATTATATATTTGATTCAATAATTTATGCTAACGATGAATTATTTTGAACGATACTGCTTTATTAGTAATCTATCACTTAGTAGTATGATGTGCGAGTTGTAATGCTATTTAAGTGCCACTTTTAAACTATACAAATAAAAAATTATTATAAATGCATATCAATAATAAATCACAATAGTACAGAAAACAATAAATTCGATAAAAAATTACACACATAATAAAAGCAAAATCAAGCATCTAGTGATTGTAATTCAAAACATATTCAAAACATTATTAATAAACATTTGCGTAAAATATTAAATCGTTTTTCATGAATAACGAATGCCATATTATACACATAGTGTAATATTATGCGTAGAATTATTATCGTGTATATTATAGAAATAGCAACAATTAATTATTTTATTAATGGCACTTGCTATTGACAAAAATATTCTACAAGTGTAGATAATACAAAATAAAAGTAACATAGAACGCGCATTCACGCGCAGTAACTATGAAACTAAACATGTTTTACGACAGTGGACGGTCCGCAAGTATAAATAGATAATAAACATACTCAGTGATATCTTTCCAAAACTTTCATAATGTTTAAATTCTTTTTTCTTTAAATTTTTTTAGTACGTAGAATTTGATTTAATCACATGATTGTAAACATCAGCGTTTCGAAAACTCGCATCGTGGAAATTCAACAGATTGTCTTTGAAAACATATAAACAACTGCCCAAATCTCCACTTGCTTTTCTTGAACTTCTAGTCTTTAGTCTCTGGTTGTAAATCATACCAGCTCGTGGATGATTTTGTAACATCAATTTCACTCAAATTTAAATAAACTTGGCCCATGACATTGCTCCCAGTCGATAACCAACCTTTTTGAGTACATACAGACACTTCCAATGTACGACTGTTTAAATCAGCTTGAGATACAACATACTCAAATTGTTCGTCGAATACTGGATTGCAATTATCCTTCATTACTGCTGTTTTACGTTTGGTTTCCTTATGACGGTCAGGTAGAAGATATAATTTTACGTATGGATCTGGTATATTATGCGGATCATTTTGTGGCAGAGGTAAGTTACTGTAATAGTACAAAATTTAACAAAACCTGTTAAATTCCACATTATTAAATTAAATTACACATTGTTAGATTACGTACGCTATTTTGTGTACAACGATTATAAGCTTCTGTCTTTGTATGCTGTAACGTATAGACAATTGTATTCGACCTAGCTTAGCTTCACCCGCGGATGATGTCATATTTGGATTCCTATGAATCAACTGTTGATTTCCAGCAGTAATAGAAGATGGAGCAGTAGTAATAACAATTAATTCCTCTTCTGCTGTACCTGGTTCTTCAGGTACAATTACTGCAGCAGATCCAGTACTTCGCGTTAAGCTATTAACTGACTCCTTTGAGGGTTGTCTTTTTAGTGGAGTAGACGGAACTACAAAATATTACATTGAATAATTCTATAAATATATTATATTAATTACTGAAAAACTTACGACTATTTGACGTTGTGCTAATATTTGATTCTTGACGTTCGATTCTTTTATTCAATTGATTAATATCATGATCGTCATCATCTTCTTCTGAAGTAGGCTCAGGATTTTCATATTTTAAAATCTGCGATTAAAATTAAATACATAAATATAGTGTACTTATTACTTATAAATATATTAGCATTAAAATTTAAAAGGATTATACGCTTAATGATATAGATAATATTAATTTGCTATCAACTTCGGCCATTTGCAAATCATAAGGTTGTTGTGTAATTTCAAGATTGTTCTGTTTTAAAAGTAAAGAGATATTGTAACTCATTTCTCCTATTATGACACCAGTCTTTTCATCTGTGATCTAGAAATTAATATAAATATAATATAAAATTTTCACACAATGTACATAATTTTTTATAAATTACAAATAACCTTTATATGTAAAACACCAGTTTCTGGGTTGCTGACTAAAAAAGTGAAACCTTGTTCCCATACTGGATCACAAGAACGTAATATAGTAGATGTTCTTCTTGTATTTCCACCAACACTTGCCTCAAGATAAACATCAGGCTGTTTATTTCCTCGAACACACTGTAATTAAATAATTTTTATTCACTTTTCTTAATTAAAATCTATTATTATAAATCAATGAATTATGCTTACTGATAAATTTTTTGCTGAATCAACATAAAGTATAAGTAGGGCTGTACTCATTGATGTTATTCTAAGTTCTTGAGTTTCCACTAATGCCTGCATATATTCATAAAATTACATTATATGTACTAGATAAATTAATTCTGTTAAAAATACATACAGCTTGCAAATCAGAAACATTTTTTGATAGTTGAAGCCATGTTAATCGTAAATGAACCATTCCATGTTTTGCTTGTTCTAATGAAATCCACTAGAAAACAATGTTTTTATTATTATTTAAAATTTATTATTGTATTAATTCTACTATTCCTTATACTCACTGTATCAATATTTCCCTTCTTTTTCACTCTACTAACTTCAATAGTAGCCCTACATTGTAGAAAATAAAAATAAATATATTTAGTACATTATACATATTGTTTTGCTTGAAATATAAAAAAGCTACTATTTTGTTTATAATGGCGATTATACAATGATATTAAAATCCATGATATATGAAATTTAGTTCATGCATATTATAAAGCAGTCATGCAATAACAACATATGTACACTATTGATTTTTGACATCCGTTTCACAAGCAATAAATCTTTGTATATTATATACATTCATAGTCATATAAGCAATATCTTATATAATAAGAAAATGCTTTATAAAACCAATTAATATTAACGTAGAATTAATAACGAAATGAAAAGAGTCATGGGGTGACAGAAGTTGTCATTTTACTATAATTGCAAAAGGCACATATATTTTATATTATACTTATAATATAATTTTACCATGTCTTCTTAAACATCTTTTTCAGTAACATGCACCATAATAGTAGTACAACTTCATTTTTTTTAAATATAGAACGTCCTTCTAAACTAATTGTATAAAAATTTTCAAATGCATTCTATGCCTGGAAAATTGTACATGTTACAAATAACAATACCTGCCAAGTGGATCATCTTGACCAGCGTTGTCTTTGTCAAAAAGGTGGGCAACCACCGTGTTGTAATAGGCTCCCAAGCTCTTTTCCACTATAAACTGTCATCATATAATCTAGTTTAGTTTTTTATTTTATCAAATACAGTCACCTAATCACTCTCATAAAATTAAGTACAATTAAAGCAAATTTCCAAAATTAAATTATTGCCATTATAATTATTACCATTAATTAGTATATCATTAATTAATATATATGTGAGATTAAACTGATTATTGAAGAAAACTTAGAAAAATAATATAGAATGACTTTTGATAATTATTATAATAAAAAAAATATTTTAATTAATACAAATCATAAAAATTGAATTACATGATCAAAATACTTCATAAAGATAAAACACCAAATATATGAATGGGATAATTAATACATTTCTATCCTAAAGAAACAGCTAATGTTTTGCATTGAGCATGAACAGACCACAATCTGTGTACCAATATAACTATAATATATAAATTATATAAATAAATTATAATATTAGTAAAGCTACAGAAAAAAAGCCTCAACATCGCTGATTTTTAGATATGTTAGGTATAGATGTAAGAAAAATGTAAGGAAAAAACACAAGAAAGAAGAAAAATTATGAGAGAAAGAAAATTGTATTTCAATTGTATTTTTTATCTGATAAAAGTAATTTCTCTTATACGATATTGACCTCATTTTGACCAATATTTATATTTCTCATTTTCAATCTTCATTTTTACTTAGTCTTTGAGATTTATGAAATGTTGAAATTATTAAATAAAACTTATAATTTTCGAAGTATTGTACATACTGAGATAGTATTGCCAATATTGGCCGAAAATTTTAATTTTAAACAAAATCAATAACCAATTCTTTTCAAAGAAGTATTAATATCTGTTTAGATTAAATAAATCTTTGATCGGCAACACTATCATTAATTAAAATACGCTCATAACTTTTTAACGAACGAGTTACAGCTAAAACTTTTTGGAAGTTATTCAGGAGAATGATCTTGATAACATATATGAAGATCATTGGAGGTGAATTCCCTAAATAATTACCTATTTTTAAACATTTATATTCAACTTAATGCAATGCAAGAAATACATATTTATTTTTATCATATAATTTTTTTAATTATACGCTATCTGCGTCGTTCTACGCTTTAGATAAAGAGCGAATTTTTCGCTCTACACATATCCAAAAATTAACAAAATTATTATTCAGACTTTTTTTCTATATGTTTACTATAATATTATGTGTACATATGTGCCACATAGAATGACTATGAATATAATTAAAATTAAAAACTTAATTTAAATAATAAATAATTAAGTTAGATTAAGATAAAGTAAAAAATAATTAATAATAAAATAATTATTAAAATAAAAATTTAATTTTATTCTGCTACTAAAAGATTTATTATAAATTTATTATTGCATATTATGATAAGCACTAAATGATTACTGACACAGTAAATTAACACACATTCAGACACCACTCATAAACTAAAAATTACAAATGCTAAAATACAATAATGCAATACCAGCATGCTCCAGATTTGTAATAATACTTTTAATGTGTTACCAAAATATGCAACGGAAATATAGGTGATAATTAAATGAGAAGTGAATGATAAATTAGATGACAATCATCTTCAGTTATAATTAAACAAAAAAACATAATAAATATGATTGAAATAAATTTATACTAGCTTTTATAGTATAGCTTACCTTGAGTATAAAATTTAGAAAACAAAAATATATACTATTCTATTTCCATACCTTCCAAGACTTTCATCCTCCTTAGTGTCATCATAGTCCCATAACAGCACAGTAATTTGTTGAGCGATGGCTGACGTCACGGCACACTAGTCGCACATGACACATCGCACATCACATACATACATACATACCAAAATATGAAATTAAATTAGACTGACATAGACTAAAATGCTTCTGATCTATCTATGAATTATTGTATATATAGTTTTAAACAAAACAATAAATTATAAATGTAGAAATGTATTGTTTACTGACATATAAATGTATAGTCTATTGATTTATTAAGAAAAAACATTAAAGCGTTAGATCAGTAACATCTCATGATACATAAAAAAAATAATAAAATAATAAATTATAATATGATGACAATGAATAGTAATATGAGTAAAGAATAAAAATAATATGAATAAATTTCAGAATGTTCTGTGTAATGTTTTGTTTTCTTTGATAACAGACATATACTAAAACATATGCTTCTATTTTTCAAGTAAGTAATTCTTACCACATAAAAGGTGTTGTGCTTGAAATTTTAAAGGACTTACAAGGAAATATAGCAAAGCACATGCATTAAATATTATCAATATGTGATCCTTTGTAAAATTACACATACCTCACACCAAAAATCCCATTTTGGATTCACAGTATTATCTATAGTCTTTGTTCTAAATTCTTGTGCTCCAATTTTTATAATGGCATATGGATCAGATTTACCTTTACCTAACATTCCTATATCCTTTTTCATAAGGTGTTTTGCTTCTACTACATGAATTCTTAAAACACCCTAAAAAAAAATATTATATTTTACTAAATGATTGACTGATAATTAGACTTGAAATATTATAAATGAAAAATTTACTTCAGGCTCTGGTATTTTTAATAATTCAACTGGAACTGCTTCAGTTAATGGTATAACAATTTTATTTGGCAATACGACAAAAGCTGCTATTTGTTCCACTATTGTTTTCCTTAAAATTTCACTATTAAGAAAGTATTTAATTAGTTATGATTTTTAAAAAACAGAATTCAAATTTATTTATTATCAACTTTTCTTACTTAAAACCAGGTAAATCAAGAACGTCTGCAACTCCAACCAAATTAAAATTAATAGCTGGTGGATTTAAAAAAAATGCTTGTACACCACCAACTATAGGCATTGCAGGTAATAATGGTTTCATAACTATTCTCATCATTCCACGAATCTAAAAATTAATTGTATATATAAATTCATAAAATTATTAAACTATCGACAAATTATTAACTAATTAAAATTATCAACAAAAAATATTTAAAGGTACTTACTTGAAAATCCTTAATACCACCTTTTATATTCCCAACCGCAAAAGTAATATCACAATCACCAGCATATCTATAAAATTAAATATTTAAAAGTAGGAAAATCATATAAATTATAGAGAATATGATAAAAGAAATGATATTTACACAAATAATTAATACATACATAATATCTGCATCTACAATGACTTCATTTCTTGAAGTATTTTTATCATATGCTTTGATACCATAAATTTTTAAAGGCTGCAATTAAATATAAAAATTAATTACCAATGTTGGTCTTATTAAGATGATTATTATGAATATAAAAATTTACTCACAATACGACCCAAGACCAGCCTTTCAAATTGAAATCCTTTTACTTTATATTCTCCCAATTTCTCTATTATAGCAGGTTCAATAGTTTGCTTGCAAAGTTCACGAGCAAATTGATTTATACTTGGCCAAACTTTATACAAAACCTTAGAATATAAAAAGAATTAACTATAATTTAAATATAAAATATAATGTTAATAATCAAAGGCATGAAAAACACATTAAGATTTTTTATACTTTATTTAACCATTCAGCTCTGTCAAAGTCGGGGAAATAAACCCAGGAAGGTAATTCATCCAATCGACTCATTATTAGTTCTTTTTCTTTAGCCATAACACTAGCTTGAGCAGTAATTGCTTTTAATTCGTTGTCTTTCCTGCGTTCTACTTTCCATGCTACCAAAGCAATTGGTGCAATTAACCATGCTATATTTAAGTTTAAATATCCCCAGCTCCAAATAACGCCAGCAGTTGCCAATTTAGTCAAAAATGATATGAACAATGATCCTATGTTCATATATGGCCAAGGATTTGGCTTAGATATTTTATTGTCTTCACAGTTACCTTCCATTTGTATTAAATAATAATAAAACTTCAATCTAATATGTCATTTATTATATTTTTATAGATATTTACATAATTTTAACTATTGTATGTATAAAAAGTCAATTTTCTCTTAGCTTTCAGCTAATTATTTTTATTTATATCTTTCCTGTAAAAATAAAATATCATTTGTATAAAATCTCATTCAAATTTATGAATAAATTTATCAAATATATATATTTATGGGAATTGAAAAATATTTCAATTTATTTAAATAATTTGTAATATAAATTTAAATTTTATAGTATGAAGACAATCTCAAGTTATGTTATTTAATTAAGCGCATCATAAGATATTTTATATGCAAAATTTACATTAATATTTATTTTAAAAAAAGAATAAAAATATATGTAAAAATATATGCAAGATATATGCCATTAACTATGATTAAAATAAAATTATATATGCATCCGAATTTAATCTTCATATTTTATCACTTTAATCTTAATTTTGACATTTGGGAGAATGTCAAATAAATTATATAAATTGTAATTTACATTAAATTTGAATTGATTATCGTATCTGATACAAATTGTAAAAGATAAGTTGATAAAATAATAAACTTAAATATATGTACTTATGTGAATTGAAAAACATAATTTTTCGAAAAATGTAGTACAGTGATATATCGCATTGTTAAGTGCAACATCAATTGCGACTAAATTTTTATTTAGCTGTACAAGCAGTGTTATCAGTCTCAGTACTGTACTGTACATTTCCACAGCAAATGAGTCATCGTTGGCAGCCAGATAATTTAACGTTCAAAATATATTTAAATATGAAAGCATATAATACACATAAACATCAAATAATATATAATACAATTTTATTTTATAAAATGGGCGTTCGAATACAAATTCAATATACATGTTATTTATAACTTAAAATTAAGCGTGTGTGTATGTGTGTGGAGAAAGAGAGAGAGAAAGAGATAAAAATGTGTGCAAATTTAAAATTATGTGCAAGCGTTGTTAGTTTCGTTAAAAAACTGATATTTTCATCGTACAATTTGCTTACACTTATATAGTTAAGATGTGTGCGTACTTTGTATGATTAAGTAGCCATTGTTCACAAACGAGCACTATTAAACAACAATACTCCCCGATTTCCTTCAAGGAGAATCAAATATTCTCGAGGACCAATCAATTATTATAGAATGATTATAGTGAGCAGTGAGAAGTGAGGAATCTCTTGAAGTAATTCAACTAAAACATCTGACTATATATATACAAGCATGATCCACCAGTAGCTAACTTAACTCTCCTTGAGAACGTGAATGTCACGAGATTTTTAGCATTACATTTTAGTATTATTTTTGTAAATTTTAACATTACATAACATTTACGTTATTACTAAATAAAGAATGTATAAATTAAAAAATTAAGATGAATAACACACTACTTGAAAAACAAAAGAATTTATATATTTAGAATCATTTTTAGAATCAGTTTCAAGTAATTTTTAATGTTAGCAAAATATATCAATATGATAAAAATTTAAAATATAATAAAAGTATAATATTTTTACTGAATATTGAACGAATTGATAAATTAAGAATAACAGAGTTGTAGCATTTGAAATAACTTAATGAAATAACTTAATTAAATGAAATTGAAAAAAATTTATTAATTTAATTGCTATGTAATGATTGTGATAATAGTAAGTTAAAACATATTTTAGTTTATTAAATTCTACCAAATTCTTTTTAATTAATTACAAATGTCTATAATTACATCAAATTTTTAGATAAAATCTGTATAAAAAAATATTAATTAAGATATTAATAAATATGCAATATCAATATTTTTATGTAATGAAAATTTTTTGTAAAATGTTATACTTAATAATATTAGATTTATGTTGTAATTGCAGGCGAGAATCTCCGACGTAGAATGTAAATGTAAATCTATTCTGTCTGTGGTTATTATAACACGTGATTACAATTATTAAACACGGCAAGGTACATATATAAATATGGCATTGTATCTCATGAAACTTCTAATATTCTGAAATACCGACATAGAAAAAAATCAATGGTTTTTTAGCGCGCTCTATGTTTAACAACGGTGAATTGAGGAACTAATGAATGAACCAGCAATGGGATTTTAAAACCCATTACAATGTTGTCAACTTTTAATAGCGAAATGTGAAGCTAGTAACCATAGACGAAGTAACCGAAAACATTCTACCATTAACTAACTTGCATAGACCGGACATCCAATGCTTTTCTGTGTCCCAGGTTTTTGGGGGGGTCATATAATCCGCTTACCATTTTCGTGTCACACCCTGTCATATCGACTTAAGCAAGTATTGCATCGTGGAAATCAAAAAATATAGACAATGTTACCAAATATATTTCGAGAATTATTTATTGTATTGAATGTGATATCAGTATAGGATTAACAGAGATTGATGAAAATTGGGTTGGAAAAAAATTATTCGAGTTATGATATTTTTACGAATAATATAATTAGATATAATGTTGTTTTATTCACAAATATATAAATTCACAACTTGAATGAATTATCTTTATCTCATAAACTCGATTTTATGAATATTTTAACTTATTAATAAAATATTTCTGCAAATATTGTTTACAATAAAGAAGCACATTATGTGTTGTAAATTATTTCTTGCAAAATTCATCCGTTTCAAAATTTCGGAGTCTAATTTATTTTTTTAAACAATACCACACATATTTTCTTTTTTACAGTATAATGTTATTTATTAAGACGAATACTACTTTATACTACCTTATATATTATACTACTATATATACTACCTTATATTATACTAAATGTGTGTGTGTGTGTGTGTGTGTGTGTGTGTGTGTGTGTGTGTCACAGGCTTGTAAATTAGCATTTAGTACATGTCAACAGAATTATAAGTTAAAAACTACAATGCAAAGGATTCATTTTGTAAAAAATATAAAAATTACAGTGTTTACTGTTGGGGGCTACAAAACTGTAAAATTGTAAAATTTTAATCAAATAAAACCTAAAAACTGAAGAATTATTGATTAGTGTAATAGAAAAAGTGTCTTTGGAAGTATTGACAATATATAAAGTTATAATAGTAACTTTTAGTATATGTTTACTTTTCATCGGTTTTTCCTTAAAACTTCTTTTGCCGTTCGTTTGGACAATGTTAA